AAAACTAAAATCAAGCTGAAATGTACTGTGTTTGTGTTCCAGGTGGTTTCAGATGGGTACCAACCCCTTCACAGGCTCCCAGGAGTGGATCTACAGCGGTGGCTACTTTAATAGGAACTACCAAGACCTGCCTGATATCTACTGATAGCCTGCTAGCCTTCATCCTCCTCCTCCTCCTCCTCCCCCTCTTCCTCCTCTTGGACAGAAATGATAAGAACCCACATACCCATGTTTACTTCTGTGTCCATCTCACGGCCTTCACCCGGCGCAGAAACACTTCCGAAGGAGCCAGATGCCCGTCACTTGGTGCCTACTGAGTCCACAAAGTGTTTCTCTTTTTTTCACTTGGAAACGACGAACCACCTCCACGTCATCTGGAGGTTTCTTCCCCCCTAACGACCAGCAAACGCCTCCCGTCTCTCTGCCCCAGCACCGTTCAGAGCACAATAACCGTTTTACTCCCGACCAATCCCAGCGGCGGCAGAGAGTCGGCCACGTTTTAACAGCTGCGGTCTGAATGTTTTAACATCTTTGCAATCAAACTCTTTTTTTTTTTTTTCTCCGAGGAACTGCTGGCTAAGCCTGTGGAACGGCAGCGTTTAAAAATGTATGAGTAGAAATTAACTAAAATATTGTAATGGCAGCGATGGATTTATGGACTCGAACAGACGCCCAGTCAACGGGGAAATCAGGGACGTGAACGCTCCTTTGACTGAAGACGGATCGTGAGGATGCTTCTTCTTCTTTTTTTTTTTTTTTGGAAACTTTTAAAGACTCAAATACTCAAAATAAATATAAGTGACATATTAAAGAACTAATTTATATAATGTTGGTTAAATTGGTCGACACAAATCAAACACAAGCATGAACTCACTACTGTCCATGCGGCGTATACTTCAAATATTTTACTCTCCCGTTAGCCTTGTAGTCGAGGGTTATGTCTCGAAATAAATCAAGAAAACTACTAAAAAAAGAGAAAAGGATGTTCTGTTGACTGCTTGATTGGGACCAGACCTCTCGAGCTAATGGAAACACATGAATGAGCACAGCAAACACACTTCACTGGTGTCTTAACACTTAGCCTTCAGCATGTGCGCGAGGATAGCTTCAGGAGAAAACGATCGACGAACAATCCACACTGCTAATGTGAATTCATTCTGCGCAGGCTTCTGACAGACAAAAAGTTCTGAAAACATCGAGTCACCGGCTGCTAGAGCTGAGGCTTACTGATGCTCAGATTTCCATCCTCCAGTTCATTGTCTTTACAAGGAACATCTCTTCAGCGCTGCTTCTCCTGCACATCTGTGATTAGGCCTCCACAGGCCGGTCAGAGGAGCTTCAAGCTGAGCCGTCAGGAGTCACCTGCAGCCGACTGATAAACCTGAAAACCCAGAAATGTGCGAGAGCCTGATGTTCTGCACCCGCTTGTGCATGTAAACCTGATCCTGGACGACTAAACGGACCCCTGCAGAGTAAATATTTAATCACCAGATTGGACGTAAATCTCCATCTGTGGTAAACCGAATAATAGATAATCGATGGAGGTAACCCTGACAATACATACATCATGTAAAGCCATATTAATTAAAGGAGCGAGTGCTGTACGAATGAGACTCAGAAATATGACAGTTTGACATTATTATTATTATAATTAATCTCATCATTAGTGTACTATAACGCCGCTGTAGATATTCTGCTCTTTGATTGGATGGATTTGTGGAGGGGCCTGAGGTCAGAGGACCTTCAGGTGTCACTGAAAGAAACAAATAAAACCAGACCGACTCGAAATGGCTAAAAAAGAAAAGCTAGCAGACGTCAGAGGAACGTAAAACAGGCGTCCATCGCTTTGAGTCTCATCTCCAGACAAAATGCACTAAAAAGGAGGAAGGAAATAAAAGTTCCTAATGAATAAAATACAAAGCTCAATGTACAAAAAGAAAAAGCTAATTCGATGAGAAAACCTGTGTTTTTTTCTCTGCATGTTTAGATCTACACCACTAATGAGCTACAACCTTACAACTCCACCCATCGAATATATTTATTTAATTTCATTCCAGCTGACTCAAATTTTCATTCAGTTTCGGAGATAAAAAGCTCAGAGATGGACAGATTTTTTTTACTTCCCTCGATGGCATATCTGTGTTGATGTATGCTGAATTTATCGTCCTCTCATGCAGCTATTTGCTCGCGTTGAAGCGGATTCAGTGTTCTAACGTTTTGATTAATCGACAAATGTGTGATGAAGCAGTTGAAACTCTGCAGATTACCTTCACTCCATGACGCACATTTCACATCAGGCCGACTCGTGCTGGTGGAAAATGTGAATATTTGATCCTTTATTATTATTATGACCACCACGGATAAACAGTGCAACGAATCTACAGAAGTTAAATCCTCACTATTTTATTGCAGTTCGTCTGCTGCCGTCACGTCCTCACCGGTGCATTTACTCCGAATTCGAAAAACCCAACTCTATGCAACTTCTGCAGCGCAACACCAACAGCACCTGATCTGTTATTGTACAGTCGCTTTACATTCCTCTCACCCCCCTCAGCTCCAATAATCACATGTATCTCTTAAATATTAGTTTATTTTTTAATATATTCCAGATGATTGGAAACTACTTGGCACTACAGCTAGTTGTCACATCTTCCCCTTTACTTACTTTTGTGTTGGTTTTTAAAAAAAAAAGATTTCGTGTCATGCTTAGTGCCTGCGTTTGTCAGCTTGTCATTCCATTTTTTTTTTTTTATTCATGTGTATTATTTATGATGTTTGAGGTTTTATGAATGATTTCTGATGTCATTGTCAAAGTTCTTTGTTTTACCTAAATCCCCACAAGTCTAATTCGGCCTTGAATCCACCAGTGGGAACTCACGTGATCTGATTTGCTAGCCAGCCCAGTACGTAGGTTCCATTTTTCAAACATCTGGCTGCCTCAATTTACAAGTAATCTGTTTAATTTCATGCCTAGAAAATCACAGTTTAGTTTTGTGTAGTTGTAAAGCTGTCCTGCAGACACTACTTGAAGTGAAATCGAACACTCATCGAATGCTAGCGGCAGGTGAAACGATCGGGGCAGCTAGCACACGTACAAAACAGTCCCATTAACCAGATTTAGGCTCCGTCAGCTCCACCACTAACCTTAACTAGCTCCTGGTTTCATGTCGCTTCCAGTGTTGGTTCTTTCTATTAAAAGTGTCTTCTGTTGAATTATTTTTTTTCCTCTCTCGAAACTTTCACGTGGTTGACGATGTTATGTACAAGTGTTGCACAGAGGTAATCACAAACAAAATGGCATATTATTTTGTGCAATTGATTTATTTTTATAGTATTTAAACAGTTTTTTGGTGAGAACATTGTACCAGATGTTTTATTTTGAGGTGGGGGACTGTAAAGGGGGTCGTATCCATACTGTGGACAGCTTGGTAGATTAATGAATGGGGGAAATGTCTACTAATAAAATCCTAATTTCAGTTTTCGATCACGTCTCCTTCTTTTTGAAATAAAATGA